ATACGTAACACTTTAAAACATCGGATGAACCACCAGCATAATAATTTAATCTCTTAATTCAATAACTTGAACATCTACGAAGAGGAATCATAATAACATCTTTGTCTAACAATTACAGCAACTTCAAAATAAACACATGCTTAGCAACAATCAAATTAAAGTTCCACAACTGAAATCATCAATAATAAAAAACAACAAGCGTTCACCCCCCCCCCCCCCCGAGTGTTACGTATCAGAGCAATGACACCGGCTTGAACTACCGAAGGTATACTGCCTTCACTTCGGATTACCTGCACGTTACCAACGTAAGGGTAACATTCAAACATAAGGGGTGAGATCTCTAACAATATAATAAAATGTATGATAAATAATATATTAAATTAGATCACATAATATCACTACTTCTCATCTTATAAACAACAATAATCACAACAGAATACCAATAATATACACGTTTACCGCATCAATACACAACTTCTTTATGCAATCAAATAATGTGACTCGATATTATTCAAATGCATGTGGTACCATTGGATCAGAACTCCCATCTCAAAATAATTGCCAATAAATAGAGGCGTCAACAAGGCATAAGCCTTCATCTTAATATTCACCAATACATGCCATCTTAACGAGCATCAGCTCCATCTTGATATGCAATGTATGAGACACAATCATGAATGTAGCAACAACAACCACAATTAACAACATCTCAACACATCATCGTTGGCCAGAAAGCCTACATCTTAATAGTTGCCAATTATTAGAGGCATCTCAACATCATTCATCAACATCATTCATCAACGTCATTTATCAACTTAATTCATCAACATAATTTTTCGACATAATTCATCAACATAATTTATCGATATAATTCAGCAACATCATTCACATCAACTCAGCCATAACAACAATACAATGGCAGATCGACAATCCTTCAATGTTGGCCATATGCCTACAACATGATAATGCCTATAATTAATTAATCATCTAAGGATTATCTCTAATTACCAAACCTCTACATATTATTATTCTACAATACTACATCATTATCATCATTAATCTTACTGTTATGAACCAAGCAATAATCTATAATCATCTTATCCTCATCATACTTCACAAAATCGTCATAGCGGTTAACGCGGGAAGCTAACTCTAATCCTAATTTGGGTACTAGGATTATTCTTCTTATCCTTCATTTTAATCCTTAAGAATGAATTTCATCACGTTAGCTATCCAACGCTTCGAACGTCACCTCAAACGGAGTCCGGAAACTTAAGTTACAACCTTTAGAACGAATCTGTCAAAAATCAGACTGCACGAGTCGACACATAATGTTTTGAGTCGACGCGTACTGGGCTAACATCCTGCATGAGTTTATGCGCAATCCTCTTGTACCGACTCATACTGAGTCTACAAAACGGCATGTATCGATGTATAGTCCCATATATCGACTCTTCCTGAGTCTAAAAAACTGCATGTATCGACACATGGCTTTTGAGATCGACGCATACTGTTCTGGCATGAATATTTTCTGCGATTTTACTGCATTTTAACTGTGATTTCCCTGCCTTAGGCCCTAAAAACATCCTCTGACCATAGGTAATCAGCAATTATAAAAATCCTATGTTTCTACATCGATTATACAGCATTAGGGCATCATTACTCATCTCTAAATCATTGATCTTCATCAAACAACAATATATATAATTCAATCATAAATAAAACAACTTTTCACATCTAATCCCACATACTACTCATCATAAACCCTATTATAGAGTCATAACCTCACTCTTACCTTGGATTGAAGGTTGCTCTACAACTTTTCCGGTTGAATTCCATTCCGCCTCTTTTCCTTCTTTTCTACAACTTTCACGTTCTCTTCCAACCCTGATTTCTTTCTCTTCTCACTGCTTTTTCTTTTCCATATTAATTATAAATAACTAATATAATAACCCTATAATTATCATTATGTCTTAATGGGCTTAAAACTCCTACACCCCCTTTCTACTACTTGTAGTCCTTAAAATAAGCCCACATCAAATAATATTATTATTCTAATATTATTCCACAACTTAATAGAATAAATAAATTCAATAACCACAACACATAAACTATCATCATAACACAACTTCACAAATATTCCAAAAATAGTTTAATTAAATAATTAATTAAATTATGGACATTACAATATGGGTATAAGAGATATGAGTCGGTCGCATGTTTGACTCATCGGGTTAGTTTAGAGTTATGTTCTTGATTTCTATATTGATAGAATTACAATATTATGAATACATCTAACAACTAGTCCATATAAGTTGCTCCCTTTATTTTATTATTTCTTATTATAATTTACCATTTTTTTTCTCTTTAAATTTTATCTTATGTTTACAATTGCGTGCTTATATTAAATTCAAGTTTTTTTTTGTGTTCTCCTAGGTCTTATTATTAGATGAAATTCAATATAGACTGAACGTCAAGAGGTAATTGAATTGGTAAACTTGTCGTATATTTAATGATGTTTTGGGTGCCTTTTTAGATTTTTTTCGACTAAATCAGACATATCCACCTCATTCTAAGTAGAATTGTACAATACTTCATCCATTTGGAAATTACTATCGTTTTAACAAATAAATTTTTTTTAGAATGATTGTCATTCTCACTTTTCAATAGAAAACTTACTATATTTTTAATTGTATTACTCTTTAATGTAGTAATAAGGTTAATTTAATAAAAGTCTACATGTCCTAGGACAATATTATTACATTCCTTAATACATGTGCAAAAATCTTAAACGATGTTTATTTTAAAATAGAGGTAGTATTAACCTCTTGAAGTTGAAGACATAACGCTTTGCATGGACATAGAAAGTGCGACCGCAATGGGATACATCAAAGTGGAATTTTAATCAGATTGTCTAAGCTTCATTAAGTTAATGCAAGGTACTACTTTCAACATACCCAGAACCATGGTGGACGGAGTCGTGAGGAAGATGAAGATATACTGTGAATCGTTTGAGGAAATTAGGGTTAACCATGTTAAATGAAACAACAATACTGAATCACAAGATTTAGATAGAATAGTTGCAAATAATAAGGGAATTATTGGGAGAGATCTTAGGATGACAAGCCCAACCTAGATTCTTTGTATATGTTCGGTTTTTGTTTCGAACTATTTGATGATTTAACATTACACCCCCACAGTTATATCTGACACCCCCCATTTTGTATATTTTTACCATTATATCCTTGTCTAAAGTTACTAAATTTCAAATATATGTGGTTTACTGGAAATTTCGAAATTTCCAGGAGTTCTTACCATTAATTTAAAAAATATACCCAAAATTCTGAAAAAATTATCGGATTTTTTGAAAAATGAGGTAGCACATTTTTGAAAAAAAAATTGTACTACCTGAAATTTCAAAATTTCTGGTATGGTATATGAAATTGCAAAATTTTTGGTAGTACAAATTTTTTATTTTTCCCAAAAATTCATACCTGAAATTTGGGGGGTATCAGAAATTTTGAAAATTCTATCGAAACTTTAATGCTTGCCACCTTCAAATTTTATTCATGGACAATTTGAGAATAAAATAAATTGAGAGAATATCAAGTTCAATTTGTAGAGTGTAAGTACCTGGAAAAAGTAAGATAAGCCTCTGATTACCTATTATAAATATCAATTCTCGAATTATCCATTATAAATATATAAAAAGTAAAGTACCTGGAAAAGACAAGATAAGCCTCTGATTAAAAGTCATAATTAATCTAATTACAAGGGGTGTTATTGACTTTTTGAACTTTACTTACTTTATATTCATTTGGCCTTAAATGTCGTTGACGTGTCACAACCCTAATTTTTGTTGATTGTTATATTATTTTAATTATACAAAATGTCCCACTAAACCCTGATTAATGTTATCACACTAAATAATGATATCAACATTAATACTGGTTGCGGAATATGAGCAGCTAGTCGAAAATTTGCAACTTCTCACACGTTTCACGATTTATAACCCAAAGCATCCTTTCCCAAGAGCAAAATCTTTGATTTTCTGCAAATATTTCCCAAGATTCACTGAGTTTAATATTACATCCATTATAGAAACCTTAAAACCATTGTGCCACTGCATTCTTCTTCTTTTCCTTCGTAACTGGATCTTCTTCTTTCTTCTAACATTGTTCTATCTCAATCAACCATGTATTGTATTTCATTTTTTGATTCTCTTCTCGGATATGTTGTTGGAAAGTGCTCACACTAATAGTCCTTCTTTGAAACTGAAATCGGTGTCGAATGTAATTAATTAATTTTCTGTTAATTTTGATTAGTTAATAGATTTTGGATTAGTTAAATAGGTTCTGGTTTTAGTTTGTGCATCATAGTCTTTTGCAGTGATACTTTTCACTACGCCAAATAAGCTATTTAATAGCGCTTTTTTTTGTTTTTGATAGCGCTTAAAAGTGCTATTAACCGCGCCACTATTGTAAATATTTCTTATTTAATAGCACTTTAAAAGCGCTATTAAAGTACCAATTTATAATAGCGTTTTAATTAAAGTGCTATCAAAGTCAGTATTTTGCATGTTTTTTGTTTTTTTTTTATAGCACTCTAAACAAAAAGCGCTAATATATAACATATGTTTGATAGCGCTTTCAAATAAAGTGCTAATAAATGGTACATATTTGGTACAATATTTTTAATAAGTACAGTACAATATTTTTCCGTATTTTCCTATTTCAAAATTTAAATTCGAGACCAAGAAAGAACACTCAGTACCTCTGTGCCATTATATAATAATTAGGATACAAGTGTTAATTTACATTGAAATTGAACTAAAATGTGAAGTAAAAAGGAATGCCCGAGAGCTCCAAAACACAATTATAGGGCGAAGAATAAACAAAACAGCTTTGAAGTGAGCATAGTCATGTGTTTAAAACATTGAAACCCGATTTAAGTAGATGGACAGTAATCAATAATGTTACTTGGACGGCTTCATAGCTACTTCAAGCCACAAGACGATCCATGACCAATTTCACAACTCTAGGAGCATCAACTGTCACAGCTACTTTTACTGTTGGCATATTGGACCATTTAGTGACTTCTTCAAACCTGGTTTATTGCAAAAAGAAAAAAAAGACAGAAAAGTGAGGTAACATATAGTAAAGGTAACCTAAAGACAAAGTTAATCGTACTTGCAATACAAGATGAAGACAAGATATTATTACAAAGAAGTTTTTGTTCAACTCCCCCTTGCTAAATCATCCATTATATTGGACTCTTACAGTGTTGAAACCCGGTTAAAAAAAGAGTAAACCATTTAATTGGTTCTCCAAGCTATGCATGTCAACACATTAGTTCTTCAGAGGTTTTGTTTCAATATTACAGCAACCAAGCCTTATAATATTAGGTTGGGTCGCCTGCGAGGATCAAACGACACCATAGTGTTCTATCATAAGTCAGAATTTGGATCCTCTATATTGACTTAAGTGTAAAGTGAGAAAAGCAAGGGTTGTTAACAAACTCATGATTTGTTATGATGCACCTATAATATCTACCTATGATTCGTTAGTTAATGGTTGATATTACTCACGTTACACTCTAAAGTAAATTGCTAACTTTAGAGGAGTGCGATTTGTCATGATGTACCAATAATATCTACCATAAATCATATCTCTATCCTAACCATTGACCCCAAAGTTTCCTTAGTAGTTCCTTGTACAGTGTTTCTAGGTATTCCTATGACTCTAACGGTTGGACTACCCTTCATCTGATCTACACTTATAGCATTCATCTACATATCTTTTCCACACATGTCTAAGCCACCTAAGTCGAGATAGAGCCAAATTTTCTACAATAAGGTGTTACCCTGATTCTATCTTTAATTATAATTTTTAATCATATTGTCTATTATTTCCCCGTAGGTACAGAAGAACATTCTCATACAAACCTCAAAATCAGGGATGTTTAGGCATGCTGAGATTACAAACGAAAACCAATGTCTAGAGCCAAAAACTAAACCAAGCTCCAATAGGGAGATAAAACTCAACCAATTCGACAATAACTCATCTACACAACATAGATGATATTTGATCTTAGATCTAACTTACCCACTAACTAACTAGGGTATTTGGATCCAAAATTCATAACAAAATGAACAAGTCATCACAAGATAGAAAATCTTGATAACAAAGTATTTTCCCTAATAATTGCACTCAAAAGGGTGACGGAGACTTGAATATTATGGAGTTCCCAAGTCTAACATTGAATAGTATAAGTTGCTCGGCGGAGTAATTGAGTGACTTAGTTTGCCGGTGTCTCAGGAAAGGCCAACTACAGATGAGCTATTTGAAAATGGTCAAGCGAAGTTTCCTACAGTAGGCCTCCAGAATGGCGACTCTTGTGGGCAGTGTTAAGATATAGACTTGGGTATTATGGGGTGCTTAATCACCCCTTGGAAAGCATCCTCCATTAGCCCATACAAAAAGGAACAAGCTTAGCAAACTCCAGGTTATGTTCTCTGTTCAGCTAAGACTCTATTCACCAACGAAGTATCTCTGTAGTTATCCCTGTCATCATGTTTGGTCCAGCAAGGTAGATTTTGGCCAGGCCAGAGCTAATGCAGTGTACTTGAGAATGTAACAGTTATCTGAAACAGAATGTTCTAGGCATACCTGGGAAATCTTCACATAAATTTCTCTTCCTAATCAAATATAAGGAATATATAAACAAAAGGCCGGGGAATTCATTTAAATTTTAATGCAATCTAAACTCCTATCAAACAACAGCCTAAACCATTTACGAAAAGTTTACTTCCTTCCCCTAAAGAACTAGGTTGGTCACTGAAAAATTCCTATTTCTTTGGTAGAGTCAATGCAATCCCATAGCATCTTTACAAACTATTCTGAGAAATTTGGAGAGAGACAAAACTGCTATAAAATGGCATTAACATTCATATAGATAAATTTCATGGCTATCAACTCCTAGTGCTTTCTACCTTTTCTGTTTATTGTAGAGAATTGTAAGTCCCCTTGTTATGCCACTGGTTTGGACTCTAACAGCACCTTCTGTGCAAGTTACGAGTGAAGGATCAACGGCTGCAAGCAATGCTGTAGGGTCATGAAGGTAAACTCCTGTATAAAAGAACTATTAATAATTCGGATGATTAGGCCTATATTATCTCTTTAATGCAGAATGAAGACATACCATTGGTGTTGTATGCGTCACAATGGTAAGAGAAATACACCTCTAAGATTCCGGTAATGTATTGAGCAAATTTTCCTTTTGAACTTGCTAACTTTTCTCGATCAGAACCTAGTCATTTTGTTTTTTCGGATGAGGGTAAACCAAAACAAATGTTAACATGACAAGTGACATGAACCATAATTAAAATAGAAGCATGCTCATAGCAGTCAACCGATGTCAAGTTTCATGCTAAAATACTGCCAATAGAGACACAAAGGTAATAAAAAGTTTCATGGGTTTCAAAATATTATAGGAACTAGTTATAGATATAAAAGGTTGCTGGATCATGATGCATAAATCATGAAAGGAAAAGGAAAGAAAATTATCATAACAGTTGAAGAACTAGATGTTAAACCACATAAGATTTGCCAAGAGATGATTAGTCATTTTAACAAAATACCTACGTAAGCATGAAAAAACTGAGTGCATATGAATTTGGCAAAGGGGTACCTGACAATACGACTTGGTGAGTAACATTTATTCCAACTGCCAATATATCTGCGCCACTTGTGAATACAACATCAGCAGCATCTGGATCACCAAATATCTGGAATTAAATCCAACTGAAGATTTAGATAGATCGAGCAGTGAACGGTTTTGAATACAAAATGGTAATACTTACATTTGCTTCAGCAGCTGGATTCACATTTGCAAGTCTTGATCCACCCTCTTGCTGTCTACAGACTGTCTGTACTGCACCTAAAACTTATATCCTTATTTTGTAACTGATGCAGACTTTATTCATGGAGTTAAATCTGTTTGGAGTATCAGTTAGCCACTTAGGGAACTCCATACATCATGGGAATCCCTAAAGTAACCCTTTCTTTCATCCATTGGTGTTCTGTTATGGATGAATAAAGAAAATTCCTATTCTTTAAAACTTTGAGAAATCAACATTTATTTTAGACCAAGATTTTTTTTTTCATATATAACTAGACATTTTGGAAGTCAGCCAAGTTACCTACCAAGACCGAGACACCAGGGTGAATTTTCAGGTCCTTCAGATTCAACTGCTAAGCCAACAATACTAGCATTCAGGCTGTAGAATACTTCAGAGCTTGGGACCTACAAAAGATATTCATAGGTCATATAAAATGTTTGATCACCTTTATATAAAAATAAATAAATAACTTTGAAATTTATATGTTCGATATTCTATTGAAAACCATAATATATTCAATATCTAAATTTATAATAAAAATATTTGAAATTCAAAGTGGATGAAATGCATACAGAACCAAGCATATAAAGGGTAGCTGATACCAATGTTAAATATTGGAATATTAGAAGCTGCATAACTGTAAATATTGGAATATTAGAAGCTATGAAACCAATGTTAAAACTTACTTGAGGAAAAAAGTCATGGTAATCACGGTAAGGACGATTACTAACGCGATCAATGAATCCTCGACCGTGCCTGCGAGTATTCCAACCATTCCAACTGTCCAGTTTAGAGGAAGAACTATGAATGTAACAAAATATCATTATTCTAAATCATTACACCGTGACAATAACAATCCTCCCCGAGTATATTTCAATTGAATACTCACCCGTCATGAGGTATACGACCAAAAGTCGGTTTAAGACCAACTACACCACAAAGTGTTGCAGGCATCCTTACAGAACCTCCCCCGTCGACACCAAGAGCAATAGGACACAAACCTGCGGATACCACCGATGCAGATCCACTAGAAGAACCTCCTGCTATCCTATTGACATCATAAGGATTTCTAGAAGCCCTGTGGAGTGTAAATAAAAAAAGCCAAGCTCTTGTTAATACAAATCATTAATATATAGCTTAGTAGACAAGAAACCGAAAAATGTAACAAAAATGTGAATATAAGTACTATAGTATATATAACCCATGGTTTCTTACCCGTAATGTGGATTTATACCGCTAGTTCCCGCGCCAAGTTCATGCATATTAGTCTTTCCAACAAGTATGGCGCCGCATAATCTTAAACGCTTAACACAGCAAGCGTCATTCAGACAAGGCCTTTGTTTGTGCAGCCACTTTGTACCTCCTACATGACAGACACCATTTAAAGATGCTCAAATCAAGTGAGTAGAATTTACGAGCTAACACTACCTGTCGTAGGATATGGTAAATAGTCTATTTCATCCTTGATAGCAAGAAGAACTCCACCAAGCACCGAGATAGGTTCCCCTGCAAGAAAACATGCACCAAATTAGTATCAGAACTCAGAAGAGAGTTGAAAGACAAGTCATTATCAAAATTCTGTTAACTTCTGACTCTTCTACCTGTATATACATTTTTACAAATTAACATAGCAATTAAATTTTTACAACTTCTGACTCTTCTCATTATCAATCACCCCGCTCTTATTGACGCAAGCAGCCTTCCACACTTGACTACGGTTTATCTCCTTGTGCTTTGATGATCATGTTCATCTTACAGCTAAGATCCATGACTGCATGAATGCAGAAATTCCAAGTCCTTACCAAACTGAGACTTCATTGAAATTCAATGCATTGATTACAAGAACTCATGAAATCTAAGTGTATCATCATCACCTTTTCCATTAGAACATATGCACAGGCAAGAAAATAATATAACAACAAATAGCCAAAAAAACACCTTAAAAGATCTGAATAGACAGGTTCGCTCCAGCTCGCACAATCAAGTCCAAGTTTCTCAAATGCTGCAAGCACAACATCGAAATCAAAATCGAAAAACAACAGTTTGTTACACTCCATGAAAACAGAATAACACAAGGAGAATATGGAATTATAGATGAGCAGTGACAGTGAGCACAGTCGAACTGTTGATACCTTTATTGAAGGCTATGCGATTCCCACGGTATGCATCCACAAGAACCCTAAAAAACAAATAAATAAATAAATAAAACAATTAACAACCACAACAGTTCAAACAAGTTGAGCAGAGTGAAACTGAAACGAGATTGTTAATAACGAAGAAAAGCGAAAATTCACCCGTCGACTTCGAGGAGAACTGCGAGATCTTGAGACGGGATGCCGCTGTCGTCGGTGGATGAAGCGGCGATGACGGCGGTGGTGTGGCCGGGAAAATCGAAAGGGGAAAATTGATGGGAAACGGTTACGTTCGCTGTGGGTTTGGGAAACTTACAATGCATTGAATGTGCGTGGCATGCGAATGCGTTGAAGAGTTTCATGAGGAGAAAGAATTGAACATGAACTTGCTAGTGACTGGATTGCACAGTGCTTTGTTTTTTTCTGAAAATGTGTTTTTTTTTTTATTATCAATTAATTAATTAATTCATTATTATATATAACATAGCGCTTTTTAATAAATGCTATTATATAGGTAGTCAAATAATAGCGTTTTATACAAAATGCTATCTTAAAGAAGTTTAATAATAGCGTTCTGGTACAAAGTGCTATCAAAATTACATAGTTTGTATTATATAATAGCGCCCGATTAAAAAGTGCTATTATAAATGTGTTTTTTCCATTTTAATAGCATTTTTTTTAAAAGTGCTATTAAATTAGGTGATACAAAAAATCATTTTTGGCGTAGTGTTTCTTGACGTATGATGCTTTGAACATGAGCTTATTTTGAACTGCATATGTTTGAATCTGAACTCACGCACTATTGCCTTTGTTTTGGTGAAGGTATATATGACAAGTTCGCAAATGCATTGCTTGATGTTGTTCAGCGTATGAAAGTTGAATATGGTTTTAGTGAAGGTGTGGTACAGGTAGTTAGCTTTTTAATTTGATAATCGATTTTTTCGAGAATCCATTTTTCCTTTTTACCAACAATGGAAATTGCTTACGTAGCCTTTCCATATTTCGTCTCTAATCAGGGCCCTCTAATTTTCGTCTATAATCAGGGACCTCTGATAAATGAAGCTGCTGTCAAAAAGGTTTGTGTTCTTAGTATTTGGTTTTTCATATGCACTATTATAGAGTTGCACGGTGTCCTTTAAACTCATGGGAACTTGTAATTTTCCGTTCAGGTTGACTCCTTGATTCATGATGCTACAACAAATGTTTATCTTTTTTTGCTATCTGTCTGTCTATTCTTCACTTCAAAATGATATTATTTTCTTAAACCGAACAATGATTTGTCATGTTATCATTCATGATAGTCACTTTGCCACACTTTTGTGTACTCCTATTATCATATTTATATGCTACAAATGGCTTCATTGTTTGAATTATGTGGTTTTTGGTGTAGAAACATTGTGAATCTTATGAGAACTGTAATATGGCTATAGCAACTGAAGAAATATAAACTCTATCTGAAAACTCTATCTGAAAAAGACAACTCATCAAACTAACATGGTTGTTGCATTCGGTGGTGGTAACGATTCGTATATTCGGATGAGCGGAATAGATGGATATGCAGAAATATATACCTTTAATTTATTGATATAGTCAATTTTATAAACTGAATAAGTTACAATTGTTTTTTAAATGAGAATAAGTTAAAAATAATTTTATAAAAGTAATAAATTCAATTATTTATATAAATATTTGTATAAATGAGAATAAGTTACATATATTTCCATAAATTGACACACGGGTTCAAGGTGCTTATAAATGAAAAAAAAGTTACCATAATTTTATAGGTTTAATAATTTTTTTGTGTCAAAATACTTGGTTTATCTAGAATATAAAAAGCTATATTATAATTTTAATCTCCAATTTTATTTGATTTACGAAAGTAGTTTCTCTATTTTAAATTAAAAAAGTGTTGGTTCATTCTCATGTTTTTAATAGAAAATTGATGATATTTTTTGGTTTTTAAACTTTCTTTTAATAAAATTATACAATAAATTTATTTATGATTAATTTTTTTTGGCTATTTTAAAGATTGTTATTGAAGATTAGGTTATAGGTTTGATTTTAATCTCCATGTCAAATTTGCATGAACATATTTTACATAGTTTATTATATTTTGACGGGGTGTTGTCATACATTTTATGTTTGTAAAAAATGTAAATATAATCTGATAAGAAAGTTTTAGGTTTTTAATTTAACGGGGAGTTGTCTACGTCGTAGTTTGTAAAAAAAATGTAAATATGATATAATAAGATAAAAAAAGTTTTAAAATGAAATTTGACGAGGAGCCGTCATACATTTTATGTTTGAAAAAATGAGCTAATAAATTTTTAGAATTAACTCATTTGGATTCTACTGGAATTTGTTAATTCATATGGATTCACGAGTAGATGTGAACATATCTGCGGTAGATTGCTCATTTTAATGTTTATTTCTAAAAAAAAAAACTACTATTTATATAATTGAAGTTAGAGAATCGGTTAAATAATTTATTATAAGTACGAATGAATGTTTAAAAATTAATATATATATATTATTAATCTATATTTATAATTATGTGAATATTAATCCATTGAATAATAAAATTCATATTTTATAAATAATAGTTTCTTTTTTCTGTTTTGATTTGATTTTGCAGCACCAAAACGATATGACATGTTTTAGGACACTTATAAAATTTTGAGTGTCTGCAACATTTTCGGCAAATATCTTTTCAAATTATTTTGGAAAACATAAGAGGGACGTACGGGGAAGAAATTAGGGTTAGCAATATTTGAAAGTGATTATATGTTCCCATTTTTACTCTTAATTAATCAATACCATATTTAATTTTTTATTTTATTTTATCTAAGGGTGTGACTTAATTAAACTGGATTCTTTTAACGTGTCATTTTAAAACTAATTTAGGTCTTTCTGATGGACTTTTAGGTCATTCTTTTATAATACTTTTTGTTTTATATACGTGTCATTTTAAAACTAATTTAGGTTTTTAATTTAGGTCTCCTCTGAAATATATTCGTTATTGGTCATATCAATTATATCAATTTAAGAGGTTGAAAGAAACTTCAAAATATAAAATTATATTTTTCCAACAACTAAGTGTGGTCCCAATTCTTTTTCCAATAACTAAAATATACATTTATTTTTGTAGACTAAAAATCTCTTTCTTTATTTCTAGATTAAAGAGGATCATTACTCAATTTATATATAAGTCTTCACAACCACCAAGTTACTCATTCATTTTCTTTCTCATAGTCCATCATTTGTGACATTAGTTCTAACAATGTTATCACTACTACTTCTACTTGCTCTATGCCTAATTCTCCCTCTCCTAATCTTCCTCCATAAACATAAAACCACTAAAAAATTTCCACCTGGTCCTAAAGGCCTTCCCATTATAGGAAATCTTCATCAACTAGACATTTCTAATATTTGTGTTCAACTTGCACAATTTTCAAAAATATATGGTCCTATCTTTTCACTCAGACTTGGTTCAAGACAAGCTATTGTTGTTTCTTCATCAGAAATAGCCAAAGAAGTGTTAAAAAAACATGACCATTTATTTTCTGATAGACCTCAACTATATGGTCAACAAAAACTATCTTACAATGGGTCAGAAATTATATTTTCACAATACAGTGATTTTTGGAGAGAAATAAGAAAAATTTGTGTTGTCCACATTTTTAGTTCCATACGTGTAGCATATTATTCTTCTATAAGAAAAGTTGAGGTGAAGAAAATGATTAAAAAAATTTCAGAACATGCTAATTCTTCAAGTGTTACTAATATGAGTGAGGTATTGATATCTCTTTCAAGTACTATAATATGTAGGATTGCTTTTGGAAAAAGCTATGAAGAAGAAGGACATGAGAGAAGTAGGTTTCATGGAATGTTGCATGAGTTTCAAGCTTTGTTGATGGAAATCTTTGTTGCTGATTATATTCCATTTACCGGTTGGATGGATAAATTGAGAGGATTGCATGGTCGAGTTGATAAAAATTTCAAGGAGTTTGATGAGTTTTATCAAGAGATTATTGATCAACATTTGGATCCAAATAGAGAGCATTCAGATCAAGAGATTATTGTTGATGTTTTGTTGCAGTTGAAGAAACAACGTTCGTTTTCTTTTGATATTACTTATGATATCATCAAAGGAGTCCTCATGGTATGATTTTTTTAATTCACTTTTCTTTTTTAGTAATTTATGTTGTTGATTATTTGTGGACTATTAATTTTGAGGACTAGAAAATATTTTTAAAGAAAATCTAGATTATCTTAAAAGAACACTCTAGATTACTGAAGGGGTGGACATGATGATAGGCTAGCTAAATTTCACTAAATATTAAGATATTTCATGGGGACCATTGCATGTGGATATGTGGAACAATAAGACAAGTTGTCTCAGTCAAATGCATAAGATATTATATCTCTTTCAATGTCGAACAAAAAGACAAGTTGTCTCACTCAAATGCATAAGATATTATATCTCTTTCAATGCAAAAATTAGTTTAATGATTTTAGATATATTTGGACTCGCTGTAGATATAGAATTAATTTTAGCAGAATTGAGTTTGGTAACCTGCCCTCACTTTCTTGTTCATTGTCTTGTTATATTGCTTAGTTACAATCTTACACAAAGACAAAGTCACATACATTATGATTGTGATGTAATTTAAATGCTATCTCGATGAAATCAAGATATTACATTTTTTGATTTTAATGATAAATAATTTTTTATAGGACATGCTTGTAGCTGCAACAGATACTACATCGGCCACATCAGTTTGGGCTCTGGCTGCCCTAGTAAAAAATCCAAGAGTAATGAAAAAAGTACAAGAAGAAATTCGAAACGTGGGAGATAAAAAAGATTTTTTAGACGAAGTTGACATTCAAAATTTTCCTTATCTAAAAGCAGTAATAAAAGAGACACTAAGATTGTATCTACCTGCCCCACTGCTTGTGCAAAGAGAAGCACGTGAAAAATGCACTGTAAGTGGATACGATATTCCAGCTAAGACAATATTGTACGTGAATGCTTGGGCTATTCAGAGAGACCCTAATGTTTGGGAAAATCCACAAGAATTTTATCCTGAGAGATTCTTGAACAGTTCTATAAATTTTATTGGACAAGATTTTGAACTAATACCCTTTGGAGCTGGTCGTAGAATTTGTCCAGGTTTGCCTATGGCAGTTGCCTCATTGGAACTTTTCCTTGCTAATCTTCTTTATTCATTTGATTGGGAATTGCCACACGGGTTAAAAAAGGAAGATATTGATACTGAAATGTTGCCAGGGATCACTCAACACAAGAAGAATCCTCTTTGCCTTGTTGCCAAAATTCCTATGTAGATGCATCTCTTTATAATAATTTTGTTGGTTTCTTTCTTATTTAATAGGTTATGGTTATTTGGATTTTCGTGTTTTGTTATTCTTCGAAGAATAACCAAACACAAAAATTCAAATAAACATAACATATTATAAGTTATGTGTTTTGTTTATTTGAATTTTTGTGTTTTGTTATCCTTCGAATTTAAATAAAAAGTTATTTATAAGTTATTTACAAGTGTATGATTTTACTAAATTGTGTAAAAGTATGCGTGACAATGGAGTTGATTATGATCGATTTTTGTCTCTCATTCCTGTTCATGATATAGATTATTTTCTCGTTAACATCTATCTATATTTTAAGTTAAAATTTTGATTCATATTTCAAACAGATGTCATTTTTCTCGTCTTATATATATATTTAGCCCTTCATCCTTCAAAGGTTGTCTTTTTATTAGATTGAGCGCTCCTTGTTCAGATACATTGTCTGAATCTTAACATCCTCATTAGTAGCCAGTGATCGTGCATGAGATATGTATTAGATTAATGGACATTACTTAAGGGATCTTGGGATTAAACTTCACTTCCTAGATTCCAAGGAATCAACGACCCATTCTTGGAGTGGTTTCTAGATTCTTGAAAGACTCGGTTTCAAACTATAGGACTATAAATACATCAATATCATGACACTTAAAGATAACTAACAACACAAAGAAAATACATAGATACAGTCGCTTCTCACCTCACATGAGCTAGCTCTCAATATCACAACAATTCTAAAGCCTCTGACAGCCATTATCCCCTAGGAGTTATTATACATTTGTACTTATCGTTAGTTCAATTAGCGTCCACCGTAGGGTTCCAGTAAAACTGACCTTGACCATACTCAGAACATTCAATTGGAGTATTGTCTTTGTGATCATCCTTCGTCATGCTAAAGAAAAAGACACGCATCTCGTCCACGAGGAATATGATTGTCAGAAAAAAGTCATAGCAGAGATGCATGTTATTATGGAGGACCTTCGTCTCCAGAACCAAATGTTGGAGGATAATGTTATTCATATTCAACAGCCCTAGCAATAAACCGATATGATGGATGAACTGGAAGTATTGTCCCAGAGAACGTTGAGCTTCCATCTCTGACTAAGTTCAATGGAGCAACGAAATGAGCATGTGGCCTCCATCAACACTTAGATGGCCATCATTTGTGAACATGACTCCCTGAAGTGCAAGCTCTTGTCTGGAACCTTTAGAGACACGATCTTGAGATGGTATATAGGACTCCACAGGCTCTTCGTAACCAGCTATCAAGACGTGATGGAGACGCTAGTCCACTAATTCGCTGCAAGCATGCACTAAAAGCTGATTGCCCACACCCTATTCAGCATACATTAGAGAACATCAGTATCATTGAGGTAGGATCTCGCCCGCTTCGATGAAGCAACATTAAAGGTAGTCCATTAGAAGTAGGAAATGATCATATGAGCATTTCTGAGCGGGCTCAAGATGGGATATTTCAACAAATCCATCACCCAAAGAGCATTGGTGTCATTAGCTGAAGTAGTGATGCAAGCAGAATGTACCATTAAGGGCGAGGAGCATAATGCTAACAAGAAGGCTCAAGACGCAAAGAGAGCACTCTTGACATAGATAACTCACAAATGAATGAGTACACATCACCCATGAGAGGCAAAGTGGCGTTCAAGAAGAGTGGAAAATTCGCCAAAAGTTCCATACCCCCTAAATGATCGCTGAAAGAAAATATGGTGAGGGGAACTACATATACACAATATCCCCTACAATCATCTCCCAAGATGGACATCATGGGACCTGATCTTCACAATTGATGCATGTTCCACAAAGTTAAGGACATCAAATAGAAGATTGTTAACAGCTTAAAAAGAAGATAGAACGCATCATCAAAGAAGGTCATCTCAAGAATATATAAATGGAAGTTCCACTAAAGGACCGACTAAATCTAATTTTCAAGGGAAAGACTCATTAGAAAATCTAGGATCCAAGAAAGGTAAGGATCTGGGTAAAGGAAGCGAGGACCAATCCATTTGCCATACCCTTAACACCATCGCATGATGACTCTCGGAATATGGGACTACCAGTCCCTCCCTCAAGGAGTAATCTTGTCAAGTCCTAGTCGGTTATGATTTGCCCATTGAATATATGGAAGGAATTGTTATAAGCTATAGCGGCAAAGAATACCTTTTCCTAGAAGGACGCCGAAAATATTTACCTTTATAAAGACGACCCATGGTTATCATTGTTTGATGCAATGATTGACATATTAGAAGAGTCTTGATTGACCAGGGTAGCTCCACAAACATCCTTTATAGGGATTCATTTGAGAGGCCCCTCCTGAATGTGGAGGGCCTAAAGCCCTTCTAGGGGTCATTGGTGGGTTTCTCAAACAAACTGTTAAAATTGAAAGACTATATAAATTTGAAGACTACCTTTGGAGCATGGGAAAATTCCAGACATGTCAAGGTAACATATTTGGTCATTGATTTGCCTAATAATATAATATGATCATAGGTGACCTTGCTTTAACCATTTACGGGTCACCCTATCCGTCTTATATCTATCCATGAAATACCCACTCCTAGATGGGTGGGTCGATGTTCTCTAGTGGAACCAAGAGATCGCCTGAAAATGCTATGTGGAAAGATTGAGTTAAAGAGGGTCAGAATAGTAGGTCTGGACACCAAGAGTACGAAAATGGAGTTAAAGCCACCAGAGGAACTTTCCACTAAGAAAGGCCAAACCAACGTCAGCACCACCTTAACCTCATAAGAAGTAAGGGAAGTGTAGTTGTACCCCTTGATCACCGCAGGATTATTAGTTCAGTCAAGGGGAAACTTGGCGGTGCATCTACCCTAGTAGTAACTAAGGAGGAGTACTCATTCCACCTCATTCTCACAAATCTCCCAGTCTAACCTTTTAAGTGGTTGAAGTGAGGTTTAAATAAGACTGTCCTAGAAATATCTTCCAGGGTCACGCAATCCTACTGAACAGGTGCCTTATTCAGCGACACATGATCTCAAATTTCCTAATCAAGCTCCAAACATTATGTTTGATTTGTAACACCCCAATTCTACTCGACGATTATTATAAAAATCAGAGTTATAAAATTTCGTAATACAAATCAGGATTTTACAATTTCAACTTATTACAACGGTATTTAATCGCATGTAAAACAAATACATAACACATAAACACGGATGAACAACATAATTTAGTCCTTTATAACCAACAACTTTCATAACTACGCAGCGGATTCAAAATATTCAACTTAAAAGGACATAACATCTTTGTCCAACTTAAAACAACTTTAAAATAACAAGTACTCAAAGAAACCAACATAAAACACAACAACTGAACTAAAATAAATAACAAAGTATTAAGAGTTCATACCCCCGAGTGTTAGGTATCAGAGCGATGACACCTGACTCAAACTAATAAAGGTAAACGACCTTCACTCTGGAATACCTGCACGTTATCAACGTAGGGGTAACATTCAAACATAAGAAGTGAGATATCTAACAATATAATCGGATGCATGATAAATAATACATTAGAATTAGATCATACAAAATCACCATTTCACACCTTTATCACAACGTTTATCACAACACAATAATCAACATAGTATAATAACAATTTCATCAACACAACAACTCAAATATGTGACCCGAAATGTGACTCGTTACGATACACATGCATGTAGTACCAGCGGAGTAGAATTCCTAATTTAAAAACAGAGCAGAACTCTCAACTTAGAAATTGCCAATTAATAGAGGCATCAACAAGACATAAGCCTTCAACTTATTATTTTTCCAATCCATGCCAACTTAACGATCATCGGCTCCAACTTGATATGCGATGGATGCGACACAACATGAACGTAACAACAACAACAAATAATAACTCAACATGAATGAACGTTGGCCATAAGCCTACAACTTAATAATTCAACTTAAATCAACATTGGCCATAAGCCTACAACTTAATAATTCAACTTAATTTAACATTGGCCATAAGCTTTCAATTTAATAATTGTCAATTATAGATGCAATACAACATAACTCACCACTACCTGCAACTTCAACAATTAATAACAACAACACAACAACTTACACGTGCCAATAATATTATTAACATGATCCTACTAAAATACTTCTACTAAGTTATTCTGCTGATAAGTCTTATTAATAATTTTCGGCTAAATTAATGAAATAGTTAATTAACTGCTACTTAAATTATCTCTACTGCTACTATATTTTCATTACTAATGTTTTTGTTATTTACTAAAAGCTTTGCAACTAAAACTATATCAGTTATTAATTCTGCAATTTAATAATTATCCTTGCTAAATATCTACTGCTATCACTTTCATAATTCACTGCTACCAGCAATTTTCATTACACTGTCTAATAATTACTAATTTTATGCTAACACACTAACTCTGCTACTCATTTATATTACCTGTTATACTTATGATAATTCATCAAATTATCACTTTTGTTGTTAATAAATAACCTCTAACGTTATTCGTCATTTTTCAAAGCCTGCTACATACATTCCTGCAATAACATGCTAAGGTAACGACACCCAAAATAAACACAGAAAAACACCTAAAGGAGATACTGTAATTGAGATCCATTCCCCTCGGCATGCAAATCGCGCCCATCGGCACAAAAGCATGGTGTTGGTCGGCACCCTTTATCAACACATGTGCCGCTTGGCATATGTCCATAATTCCAGTTGCAATTCTGCAACTTCGTTCCAAATTTTTTGCGATCAGTGATTCTTTCCATTCCCACGATCTCAGACCAAGACAATAACTATTCACAACAATATAATAACTGTACCCACATCAATACATAACAAATTCCAACACCCAATTCACCGATCAAATCGTTGAAATGTTAGCACAATTATCATAGATGCCAAACAACAATTTATTCATACAACCATCACATACAGTAACAATTTCACACAACCCAAATCCC